TTACCTTGGAAATAGAGAGAGAGAGAGAGAGAGAGAGAGAGAGAGCAGGGGAAGGGGCAGAGGGAGAGGATCCCAAGCAGACTCCCCGTTGAGCATGGATCCTGACATGGGGCTTGATCCCACACCCTGAGATCATGACCTGAGCCAAAACCAAGAGTCTGAGGCTTAACTGACTGTGCCACTCGGTTGTCCTGCTATCAGACACGTGTTTTTACAAATATTTTCTCCCATTCTGTGGATTGCCTTTTTACTTTCTTGATGGTATCCTTGGGGCACAAATGTAAGAAATATTTATGAAGTCCAATCTATATCTTTTTCAGTTGTTGTTTATGCTTTTGGTATTACATCTAAGAAACCTTGTCTAAACCAAGGTTATAGACATTTACCCATATGGTTTCTCCTAGGAGTTTTGAAGTTTGAGCACTTACATTTAGTTCTGTGATCAATTTTGAGTTAATTTTTTTAGAGATTTATTTTAGAGAGAGAGCATAAGTATGAGCAGGGGGAGGGGCCGAGGAAACAAGAAAGAGAAGCAGACTCCCCGCTGAGCGGGAGCCCAAGGCAAGACTGGATCCCAGCATCCTGAGATGAGATCATGACCTGAGCCAAAATTGAGTCCAATGTTTAACTGAGCCACTGAGGAGCCCCTTGAGTTAATTTTTGTATATGATGTGAGGTAAGGGTCCAGTTTGATTCTTTTGTATGTGGCTATCCAATTTCACAGCACCATTTGTTGAAAAGACTTTTTTTCTCATTGAATTCTCTTGGTACCTTTATCTAAAATCATTTGACCAAATGTAAGGGTTGTTTTCTGAACTCTCTATTTGATATGTTAATTTGATATGTATGTCTATCCTTATGTTAGCACCACACTGTCTTGATTAGTGTAGTTCTGTAGTGGCTTTTGAAATGGAAACATATGAGTCCTTCAACTTTGCTCTTTCTTTTCAAGATTCTTTTCACTATTCTTGGTCTTTTTCGTATGAATTTTAGGATCATTTTGTTAATTTCTGCTCAAAGGCAGCTCAGGTTTTAATATAAATTGCATTGAATCTGTAAGGCAATTTGGATTATATTGTCATTTTAACAATATTAAGTCTTCAAATCCAAGAACATGGGATGTTTTTCCGTTTACTTTTTTTCAACTGTATTTTGTAGTTTCTGTGTAAAAATCTTGAAACTCTTATATTAAGTTTATTTCTAAGTACTTTATTCTTTTTGACACTTTTGTAAATGGATTGTTGTCTTTATTTTGGATAGCAAACAGAAATATAACTAATTTTTATATAGTGATCTTGTATCCTGCAACTTTATGGAACTGTTTATTAGTTCAAATACTTTTTTATTTGAATTCTAATAGTTTTTGATGCAAAACCATGTCATCTGTGAATAAAAATAGTTTTATTCCTCCTTTTACATTTTATTTCTTTTCCTTGTCTAATTGCTATGGCTAAAACCTCCAGTACAATGGTGAACAGTAGTGGACAGAGCAGGCATCTTTCTTTTGTTCCTGATCTTGGTGGGTAATATTCAATATTTCATAATAAATTGTGATGTGAACTGTGGGTTTTTCAGAGATGCTCTTTATTTGGATGAACAAATTCTTTTTTATTTGTACTGTTTTTTCTCCCCCCGCCATGAATAGTTGTTAAATGCTTTCAAATGCTTTGTCTGCATCTGCTGAGATGATCATGTGGTTTGTCCTTTATTAATATGGTGCATTATATTTATTTATTATTTATTTATTTTTGGAGAAAGACAGTGTGTGTGCATGTATGAGTGGTCAGGGGAGAGGCAGGGGCAGAGGGAAGGAGAGGCTCTTAAACAGGCTCCACACCCAGCGTGGAGCCCAATGTGGGGCTTGATCTCACAACCCTGAGTTCATGACCTGAACCAAAATCAAGAGTCAGATGCTTAACTGACTGAGCCACCCAGGCCAGCCACCCACATTTATTGATTTTTGGATGTTAAACCAACCTTGAATTTTTAGAATAAGTCCCACTTGATACGGTACTTTTTTATGAATTGTTGAATTTGGGTTGCTAATATTTTACTGATTTTTTTTTCATGTAAATTCATAAGTGATATTGGTCTGTGTAGTTTTCTTGTGATGTTTTTGTCTGGAAATGCTATCAATATCAAATTGCTATCAATAATCAATATTGGCCTCTGAATGAGTTGGGAAATATTTCCTGTATGTCTACATTTTGGATATCATCCAAAAGAAGGTAGTAATGTAATGTTGAAATTGTGAACTACCTCCAGGTAGTAGTTCACTGTGTCCAACAGATCCAGATAGTATTTGGAATTAGATCACCATTCTGTTTGGAAACTTGGACAAGATATTTAACATTATTGAGCTTCACTTTCCTCACCTGCAACAAATGTGTAGATTATCAAATCTACACATAAGATTTTACTGGGGCACCTTGGTGGCTCAGCTGGTTAAGCGACTACCTTCAGTTCAGGTCATGATCCTGGGGTCTCGGGATCGAGTCCCACATCGGACTCCCTGCTCAGCAGGGAGTCTGCTTCTCCCTCTGATGCTCTCCCCTCTCATGCTCTCTCTCTCACTCTCTCTCTCTCAAGTAAATAAATAAAATCTTTAAAAAAAAAGATTTTACTGGGAATGATTAATAGAATCTCTGACATAATAAATACTTGGTATATGGTCAGTATATTTAAGGAACATTTTGTTTACTAATCAATAGTAAGAGTTACTGACCAGTCAAAGATTTTATTGCACCCAGACTTGATGACCAAGTAGTATGATAGTGGTTGTATTTGAAATAAAATTTTCACTTAGTAGGAATATTTCAGAAGTTATCAGAAACCAAATTTTCAAGGAGCACTGTTAGGTTTAGATTTTAGTTCAAGTTTTGCTTCTCATTAAAAGAAGTAACCTGGCCTCCCTTTCCTCATCTTTAAAATGGTGCAGGTAGTACCATGATGGGTATAGCTTTATGAATGACTTTCACTTTTCTTTAACAGTAAAAGGCAGTCTAAGAGTGCAAGTTTCCTTTCTTCCTGTCTTTCAGAGATTGTTTTCCCACTGATGTTGGATTTTACCGGATTTGGTGTTCCTTTGGGATGGTCTTCAGAGATTCTATAAAGACATATTTTCTCTATAATCCCTAATCATTGATACTCTTCCTGTCAAGTTTATGGAAGAAAGCACTCCATTTTGTTCTTTAGCCAGACTGTGGGTTGATGGAATTCTTGGAAAGTAGGCTGCCTTTTTGTCTTTTGGTATTTTCTGGTTTAGAATACAGCACAGGGACTTTGTCTAGATTATCTGCCATAAGACAAAAAATTGTCAGTTTTTAATAAGCCTTTGATGATATTTTCCAAAGTTGATTGACATGGCTATGACAAATATAATAAAAATGGAAAAAATAAAATTCTCAAACAACTTGTTTTAAAAATAACTACTTATCAACAGGTTTATTTGTCTTAATTCAGTTGAATTTTTTTCCTTAAAACAGATTTATTTGTTTATACATGGGATGTGGTTCTCTAGATCCTCTAAATGAGTAGCTCTGGTTCTTAGAAAGCAAGTTCCTTAATTTCTTCAATCTGCATTTCCAAATTAGTCCTTCTTTCCTGACTTAAGCTTCCCTTATTTTAATTAAAAAATTTAAAGCCCATCTTCCATTTTTTGGTCTTAAAAGGCAGCTCCTAAGCCTTTTTGGCATAATATTAGCAATGATTATATAGAGAATTCCAATTTTGGTGAAATGGTATTGGCAGGATGTTGCTTTAGTTAGATCTACCTCTCTTCTGTCTTCACAAACACTGTGGCAATCTCCGCAGAGCACAGTGCTCACAGTGAGATCCTGCACAAGGAAGAGAGGTGGGCACACTGAAGTGCAAGACTTTCTTCATGGAAAATGAATAGGAAGGAATAAGGCAAGGAGTGATTGGCAAATGTAGGAAAGGGCAGCGTTAGGAATTCTCTTAAATAGGGAAATTTTATCACGCACAAAACTTAGTAATTATTCAGTAACTTATTTCCTGCATTTTTAAAAGAAATGGGTAAATAGCCTTCTCTGTGGAATTATGTTCATGTGCCGTGTGTAGAGACAAAAACTAACAGGTTGATGTTTATCTGCGCTCACACATTCCATGTTACTCTCTGGCATTTTCTTTTCTTTTGTGAAATTTCTAATTCTAGCTAGGAACTAGGCACAATGAAACAATGATTACATTAAAATCCATGGGAGGAAAAAAGAAAAGAATAGTCCCCAGTCTTAATAGTAGTTGAACTTAGATGAGCTCTGTATGATTTTACTTTATAGTTTCTACTTTTCTGTAATTTTAAATTTTCTTTGAGGAGTATGTTTCAATGAGTATTTATAATTTTAAAAATGAGTTTGCATTTTATTCTAAATAAAGAAATCAAATAGATGCATCAAATACCCTAGTCAGTCTGTTCCTTCAAGCTATTTTTACTTAGTCAAACACAATGATGATTATCTTAAGCACAATGATGTGTAATACTTAACATAAAATACATACCAGGATTAAGATATAGAATATAATTTTTTGTCAATCTCCATTTTTTGCAACATGTAGCAGTAAGAGAATAATTTTTAAAATAAAAGTACTTAAATGTATTAATATCAGAATACTAATTTTAATATTTTCTCTTTTTCTCTCTTTGTCTTTTGCTTAGGTCAGCTGATTGCACAGTGCTTATATATAATTAAACATGAGGCAACATAGTATAACCCCTTGACATTATCTTATACTCTGATTTTAAGTAGAAATTATATTTGTAAGTATTTCAAAAATTATCTATATTATTACATATAGTCACTACTATATGTAAGTGCTTTGATGTTATGTAAGCTTTTAATAGATAACTTATCTCTGCAATGTTATTTCATTAGAGCTGTCAGTTGATTAGAGATAGGCTTTATTGTAAAATCAGAAATAATCAGTAATTGCCTATATTGAATGGAAATGTTAAAATTCATAAAGCTTGAGAATCTTGGAACAGTAATATATTTATATATACATATACTTATTACTAGGATTACTCTTAGATGATAGTCCCTGATTGTGAAAAAGTTTGGTCTGACATTTAGTAATTAAGCCTTTTTGCATGGTACTACCTTGCCTTAGGGAAGCCATATACAAATCAGTTGTAGAGAACTTTGGCTTTTAAGTGTTAAAAAATAATTGGAGAAGATAGATACCTAAAATATACTTTTACAGTAGGGAAAAAAAGGTTAATAAATCCACATTTATTTTCTATTTGATCGATAAATATATAAAGAGTTTTTAGTTATGGTCCGCCTGTCTCACAGAGAGAGTATGATTATCTAAAATTTGTGCTGCTTTTTTTTTTTTTAAGGAATTGCTTGCTAAACTCTGTGCTTTCTGTAAAATATTGCAAAATTGTGTGCATCTGCAAGTTAAACGATGTAATACAGCAGCCTAAAATTGAACAGAATTTGATTGCAGACCCGACTGTTTTTCTGGTTTTGTCAATAGAAATATAATGTGCTAGAATGTGCTCAGGATTTTTTGAACCATCCATGAAAGGTGACAGGGATGTTAATTTCCACTTCAGCCCTGGCAACTTCGCTCAAGTCCTTGGCATTCAGAATCAGAAGATAAGCAGGTTTTTGTCCTGCCCCAGGGCTCACCACCACACTCAGAACTACACCTGTTAATCAAAAGTAAATAAGGCAATGTTAAAAAAAAAAAAAAAAAGCCCAGGACCATAGGCTAAATGTCACTGAAATAATATAGGAGGTATTGACATTAACAAATAAAGAAAACCATATCATTTGATATCTTGCCCTGACTCATCCACCATCTGTCTATATCACCACTCTGAATGGATCTTTCAAACTCTTTATGTTCCCTAGACTGTAAGCTCCAGAAAGGGAGTGACCATATCTGTCTTATCCACTGTTGATTTTCAATAGCTACTCCAATTACTAGGACATAGTAGGTGTTCATTAAATTCCTATTGATGAATAGATCTGTGCTCTTGTCTGTAACATAAGATTCAACATAACCTATTACAAAAAAAAAGTGTTGTGACAATCAAGTGAAAAAATATATTAAAAGGCTTTGAAAGCAGTAAGGTATATTATTTCTGTACTTTCTAAGACCTAGCTAGAAGCTTACTTCCATCCAACAAAACGTGAACAAACCCTTTGCAGTTTTGTCCAGATGGACTGTATATGTAAAATCATTTAGCAGGAAATGGCTCCATAGTTCTTTTACTCATTTCTCTGTGGCTTTCCAAATTTTAATCCCAGATGGTGTCATCTACCTTCCTGTCCCAGCTAATCAATAGTTAACAAAGACTGATGCTTTGTCATTGAATGACTGTGTTATAGGCTATGGCTCTAGCTTACTAAAAGAAGAAACCCAAAGCAGAGGCACAAAGCCCCATTCTTACTCTCTTTGATCTGTTAGAATACTCAATTTCTCTCCTTCAAACTCTATCCTTTTTCAGAAATTTATCTAGGTCAGGAAAGGCAACACCCTTGAATTCATGCTGTTCTTTCTTCATCCTTCCCGCCTTCATCTAGAGCAGACATTGATGTTCCATTATGACACCAGATGGTGCTTTAACATTTTCCCATGAGTAATCAATGAGCTTGGCCACAAGATGAAACTCATTTTCTAATAAGCTTAAATTCTTTCATGCTGCATTGAATTCAGTAGTATTAAGGATCATATCTGGACATAAGGGAGTAATCACTGTGACTCCTAATGCACTAGCATATAGAACTCCAATAAAAAGAAAGTGTTCAGACACATCCATTGCTTTCATTACCATCATCTTCCTCCAAGGCATCTGGGTGAGAAACAAAGATAGGTTCTGATGGATATGAATCAGGTTCTTGCCATACCCACGTTTCTTTAGTTTTAACGTTCAGCTTACAGAGCTGCTTGTGAGAAACAAAAATCAGTTAATCAGTCGATGGGCTTTACTTGACTAGTATATGACTCAAACTACTTTTCTAGTATTAGGTAAGATGGATTAATTACCCTGTCTGGAATGAAGTGATTCAAACCAAGTCCATATGCGTACGTGTAAGGTTTCCCTCCATACTTCTGATAATTGATTTGAGGAAACTCAAATGCTACAAAATAGAGAACATGCTTAGGAAAACTCTGAAAAAAATCTCTGAAAAAGACAATTTGTTCCCTCTCTAAATCAATCTCACCTTGGCGAGGCCCTGAAAAGAGAACCTCAGGTTCCAGCCAGATGGTCTCGTCACTGCACAGAATTGCAGTGGCAGTTGTGTTGGGGAGTGTGACTAAGTTCTTGCCTGTGTCAGCCTAAGGAAAAAGGATAACAGACACCTCAGTGAGAAGGAAAGAAAAATCAAGCAGCCATAAATTCAGTCTTCCCGAGTTTTGTCTCCTGCATTTTTTGTTTCTTAAGTCAATGTGTAGGGAGGAGCAGTACAAAAAGCTATAGCTATAGAAAGAGCTCATGGTATGCATTTCTTTTAGAATGGTATAGAAAGGTAAGCCAGCAACACAATTGCCTGTACCTGTGTTGGTCACTGTCTGTGCATCACTGGGAAAGTCATGTAACCTCTAGGCCCTGTAGGCCTTCACATCTGTACAATGAGATTGTCCTTAAAGAAAATGTAAGGCTCTGAGGAAGGGCCTCTGAGAAATTTTTTTTTTTTTAAGACCAGCAAAGGACTTCAAACTCTTTGGATTCATTTATAGTGTTTATCTCACTTACAATTAGGATATATTTTGATTTTGCTTGGAAAAAAAAAAAACATACAGTTCTGTTGTCAAAAAGAAAAAAATGCATATAAGAAAACTATTGGAGCAGATGTTGTCTAAGATCTCTTGTCACTCCCTCACCCTGCCTGGTGGTTTTCAGATTCTTATGTGAAAGGAATGCATACCATGAGCTCTTTCTAAGAACACATTTATTTTTTAATACCTGTATCAAATACTTGAATACATGTTTTGTGCTCAACTCTATCCTAGATGTTTGGAAGAATTCACAGAATCAGATTCCTGAAGCTTGCATTCTTATTTGGGGATGTAAACATTTAATACAATTAATAAAGTATATAATATATCATGAGTATGGGGAGAAAAAATACAGTGGAGTTAGGAGGATCAAAAGTGTGAGGTGTAGGTGAGTTATAATTTTAATAGGTGGTCAGGGTGGGCCTCCTTGAAAAGATGACATTTGGGACAAAACTTGTAGGAAGTGAAGAAACAAACAGCATAGATATCTAGGGAAGAACATTTACACAAAGAAAACAGCGTAAAGGCCTAAGGTAGGAGGATGCCAAATGTGCTTGAAGAACATTCAAGAAACTGGTGTGGCTGCAACTGTTTCTGAGCCTGGGGAAGAGAAACAGGAGAGGAATGTAGAGGAGAGATTGTGTACAGCTTTTTAGGTCATTGGGAGGACTTGGTCTTTTTCTCTGAGTGAGAGATGGGAAGCCATAGAATGATTTGGGGCAGAGGATTGACATGCTATAATATTTAAAAGAATTGCTCTGGCTGTTCTCTTGAGACTACCCTTGGGAGTAGAGGGATGCAAGAGCAGAAATGGGGACACCAGTCTGTCCAGTGGTCTAGTCAAAAGAAGAGAGTAGTTCAGACTAGGCTAGTAGCACTGGAGTCAGTGAGAAGTGGAAGGCAGAGCCATGAGGTTTTCCTGATAGATAGGCTATGAGGTAGGGAAGAGGCATGAACTTAAGACAGACGTCGGGGATTACTCCAAGGTATTTGGCCTGAAAATTCATTGTTGAAGCTGTCTCAACAAAGATGGGGACTGCTGCAGGTGGGGTAAATTTTTTTGGTAGAGGAAGAGAAGAAATTTAGATTTCATCTTATTAAGCTTGAGAGGTCTATTAGACATTCAAAGGGAGACATGGAATTCACAGTAGCATATATAAATCTTGAATTGAAAGGTAAGTTGAAATGTAAATGTAGGCTGCTTTAAAGCATGAGTCTTTACAAAGGGAGGGAATGTACAAACAGAAGATAGAATGAAGGGCTGAGTTCTGATGCCCTCCGACATTAAGGGGTCTATAAAAAAAAGAATGAAGATAGCTCGTGGGGGCAAGAAGAGTCAAGAGAAGGATTTTGTAAGAGGGCAAAATAATAGCATGATATGAGTGACCAAATGAGAAAGAAGGGAAAGTAATGATAAAGGAGAGGGAAGAGAATCACTTGAGTGATGTCCTTGAGTGGGTAAGGAAGGGAAAATGGGAAGGACTAGTTCTGGGTGGGATGATAGATAATTCAATACAAGTACAGATGCTGGTGGGCGGGTATATGTGGTGGCAGGAGTCTAACGTTCTTTTTTGATTTCTTTCATTTGTTTCAATAAAATAGGAAGCAGAGCCATCAGCTGAGTATGAGTGTGGAGGTGGGAGGTGTTAGAAGATTGAAGAGGGGAGGGTGTGAAATACTTAACTAGCAAAGTGGGAGAGTAAATGAAGTTGAGAAATGTAGCGGTGAGGTTTGTGGTCATATATTTAAAAATGAACTAATTAACATGATTGTGTGTTTTCAGCACTTAATTTCATCCTTAGAGATACAAGTGTAGAGTGGGTGGAGAGTTGGATTTAACTAGGGGGAATTGTTGTTTTGACAAATGAGTTCAATAAAGTAAGAAGGAGGCAAGAGAAGTGAGAATCTATATAAGATTGAAATTGTTGACAATGGAATTTTAGTTAAGTAATGAGGAAAAGTAAGTTCTCAGGGGAGTGAGGTATGTTAAGAAGGTAGTAAGTTCAGGGGATTGGAGGTTTCTGGTGGGAATCATAGTAGGGCAAGTGATCTTGAAAGATAGAAGGTGGTAGTCAGAGCATATCATGCATGAAACTAAGATTATGGAAGAAGCACAGTCATAGGTAATGGCAGGGTCAAGTGTATGACTATGGGGAGTGAGTAGTTGACATAGAATGGAGGACAAGATCAGTGGAAGAGGTCAAGGAACTGAGAGGCCAGGTTGTTGGAAGAATCACCTATGATGTGTATATGGAAATGACCAAGAGTCAGTAGATCTGGGGAGTGTGACATTGGGCCAAGAAGGGAAGTGAGGCAGTGGTGGTTCATAGACAACAACAGTAATGAGGGGTGAATATATGTATATATCCCTTAGCTGAATTGAGATTAGCTGAAATGAGATTAAAATTGGAATATATTAAGAGTGGATGGAAGGAACAGTGAATCTGGAAACAGAGAAGTAGAACAGATACCTACAGTAACCCCAGGTCAAGAGGTATAAGGGCTGTAGGAAGAGACTGGAGAGATCAGTGTCTTTAGGAGAGAGGCAGGTTTTTGCTTTTTGTTTTTGTTTTTTAAAGATTTTATTTATTTCTTTGAGAGAGCACAAGCAGTGGGGATAAGGAGAAGCAGGCTCCCCACTGAACTTGGAGACAGACGTGGAGCTCCATCCCAGGACCCTGAGACCATGACCCAAGCCGAAGGTAGACACTTAACTGACTGAGCCATGCAGGTGGTCCCAGGTTTTTTTTTTTTTTTTAATTAACATATAATGTATTATTTGTTTCAGGGGTACGGGTCTGTGATTCATCGCTCTTACCCACGTTTGGTTTTAAAGTAAAGAATGTGAAAGGAACATTTTGAAAAGAGGATAGAGGGGATTTTTCTGAGGGTGTATCATTGATTAAGAGGAAATAAAAGATTCTTAAGATAGGGAAGGGATAGGAGGTAAGGAGCAAATACAGAAATGATGAGAATTTTATGAGATTTTGTGAAATAGAACCTCAAGGCACTTTGTTGTGTTTTGGGGAAGAAGAGATCAAATGCTTACATCAGACATATTATCTATATACTTGTAAGTTTAAATTGATTATCTTCATTCTATTTTATTTTTTCTATTACTAAATTAAAATTTTTATGTAAGACATCTTTAACATTATTCTTGCTTTCCCCAACAAACTAGCTCCTCATTTTTGCTACCCACCCACTTTTTTTTTTTAACAGATGCATTTTTCCTTTAACCCAAAATCTCATTTCTGAGGATCTAATCTATTCATATATCTGTGAATGTACGAAATGACATACATACAAAGTTATTCCTTATCACATTATTGGTAATAGCCAAAGATTGGAAACAATTCTGTTGTGCAGCAATGAGAGACTTGGGTATGTTTACAGAAAGAACACCGTGTAGTTGAAAACAGCAAGATCTTTAGCATATATATTGTTAAATGAAGAAAGCAGGGACGAAAACAGTGGATATAGAAAATAACTTTTTGTGTATGAGAATGGGAAATAATATATATATATATATATTTTTCTTATATTTGCATAAACAAACCAAAGAAAAGGAAAAACATGAAAAGTTACACATAGGGAGTGAACGGGGATGGTACAGACTGAATGCAGGTGGAGGATGGAGTGAGATTTCCCAGTGTGTACCTCTGCATATCGTTTTGATTTTTGACTATTTAAATGTACCACCTATTCAAAAAAATATAAAGACATATTTTAAAGATACTACCATTATCTAATTAGTAAACTGGAAACTTCACTCATCTTATACTCTTTCCTCTCCTTAGCCCTTCCCTCAATATCTTTCTTACCTCTCCTCCCAATTTATGACCGATTTTCCCCTTCCCTGCCACATTTTTCGAAGTGTGGACTTACAGTAACTGCTCCCACATCCTACCAGTTGCTGACCTTTGAGTCCTGATTTCTCCCTCTCTCAACCTCATCTGTTGGAGATCACCAAATCTGGTATTTGACTTTTGGTCTTCATCCTTTTTAACTTGCCTATAGCAAGGGGCACTGATGAAACCCTCTTGCCCTATCCAATGTGGGATTTTTTTCCCTCTTAGCTCCAGGTAGGGCTATTTGGTGACTTTCTCTCTCTATCTCTCTATCTCTCTCTCTCTCTTCCTCGCTCCTCTTTTTTGTACTTTCTTACATGAGACCTCCCAAACTTCCGTGTCTGGCTAACCTTTTTTTTTCTCGGTCTTTCTAGGCTATCAAATTCTTCATTTTTAAAATAAGCAAATGTGTATGTTTCTTTTCTAAAATTTATTCTAAAGTATGACTTCTCCTTGCTAGCAGTCTCATCTATCTAATCTCATATATTTGATCATCATTTCAACATCAGTAACTATCAACCCTGATTGACCTCACAAGGTCCTTCATTGATGTGTAGAAGCCTATGAGGTATCTTTCATGAAGATGTTTTGATACTGATTTTGTTGTTGTTGCTGATGATGATAGGGGATATTTATTTGATATTTACTTTATGTCAAGGGCTATATTTTTTTTCAAGGGCGTTATTTAATAATTAACATATACCAATTCATATATCAGCCACAAAAACTCTGTAAGATGGGTATAAATTAGGAAAAGGACATTTAAAAAGGTTCAGTGTTTCTCCTTATAGATAGAGAGAAGGAAATTTAAGGTTAAATCACTCAGTTAGTAAGTGGCAGAGCTAAAACTCAAGCCTGGCTCTGTATGACTTGAAGTGAACCTCCTTATCCTTTCCCTTCCTGATAGTTCTACGCTTCATGTTTTTCTCCATACCTGATCTGCCTATATTGGAATATCCCTATTTGGAAATATCCCTATTTCCAAAAGTATCACTATTCTAGACATGTAGGCTTACGGGATCTCTATGATATTTTGCATGTCTAAGATTTAATTCATTCTGCAGTCCAATCAAATGCAAGACCCTTTTAATTCCACCTAGAGGAACTCTTATTTTCATCCATGTTTGCCTCTTCCTAGGATCACTACATTATTCTCTTGCCTGCCTGAATGAATTTACTGTCTTCTACTCCAGGGTCCTATCTCTGTCCTTTCTACACTTCCAGTATCACTTAGGCACAACACAGACTTATTTTAGAAAATTAAGTTTTTAAAGGTGCAAATGACCCTCGTTATTATTTAGTCCAATTTAGCTAGGTTTCAGAGCAGGCAACTGAACTTAGAGTGGTTGAGTGACTTGCCTGGGGAAGCCAGGCATTTAGTTGAAGAGAGAGCCATGAAAGTCAGCACACCTGGTACCCATTCCACCAGCTCTGAATGCGGTTTTCTTCTGTTCAGAGACTTTCACTGCCAAATAAAGTACAACCTCTTAGCCTGGCCTTAAAGCTTTTGAAGACTACAAGTTTGCTTTTTAAAATTTTTAAAAATCCCACCTCATTTAGTCCACTATGTGTGCTTATGTTCTAATTGGATTGCAGTCAGTTCCCTCTGCTCTTCTGCCCCGCCCCACTTCTGTCTTTTCTCAAACTATGCCTCCTGTCTTAAGTTGATGTGCTTCAGTATCTTCTGCCAGAATATTGCAAATGACTGTGTTTCATGAATCTCTCCAAACAAGTATGACCGTTCATTGTCTGAAGAGCCAAAGTACTCTATGCTTCCTTCCCACGACTTGTCTCATGCCAACATGTGTTATCATTGCCAAATCACCTTCCTCCTCCCCAATACACTAGGTAATGAGTTCCTGGAGAACAAGAGCATATCCTCGTGATGTACCCACTGGAATAAGTCATACAATGTTGTGTTAACAGTGGTTAGTTCATAACTATTGGGAGAGAGTGAAAGAAGGGTCTAGGATGACATTAAACATTTTTTTGTCACCGAGGTTCTCTATTTCATTATTGGGTGGTCTTTCTTCAGGCAGTGATGACTACATGTTTATGAAAATCTTTCCTTTTTCCTATTCTTGGATGTGAAGAGAGTGAGGTAAGTCATATTTAAATTAAGTGATCTTAATTTAAAGATGATTGTGATTTTCTCATCACTAGTAAAATAAAATTTTACTAAAATCATTAGACTCATTCATTTGGTATTTTGTAGACACTCAGCTATGTACTAGAGATCTGCTTCCCAAGGGCAAAGTTAGAGTACTTAAAGCCTCATACAATATCATTCCAACCTTCTTTCCAGTCCCTCTGCCCAATGCCCATCTCTCCTTTGCTTCTAATGAACCAGCTCTACCAACCACTTTGTATTTCTACATTAAGTTTGGTTTATTAACACCTCTCTGCTTTTGAAGAAGCTCATTTAACTAACTACCTAATGCCCCACCTCAACTTCCTCTTCCTTTCTTATCCTTATAGAGTTTACAAACTTGCTTAAGAGCTGTAGTGTCTAGTTCTAAATTGGGTTTATTTTCCACTATATTTGATCTAGCTTTGAGTACAGTGTTTTACATTCCATGTAGCTGCCTTACCCATTTTTGTGTATATATCTCATATGTACACAAATGACAGTGTATGCTCATGTATCCATTGTGAAAATTCTATTTGTCTTGGTTTTGACTGGGATTCTATCACACAAAAACTTCTTGATGTTAGTCTAATATTCTAAAAAGACAGCCACTGAATACAAGGAAGAAAAAGTAGAAATAAAAAGATGACCACCAAAGGCTATTGATGATGTTTGTCCTCTACTGATATTTTTCGAAGGTTTGCAGAAAATCAAAATAATGGGCTGATTTCCCTAAAAGAGTACTTTTTAATCCTTCATTTCTTTATAATTTCAAATAACTTAAATTATTTATATTATTGATAGAGGATCCTAAGAATCAGTGGTCTGCGCTATTCACTGAGAAAATATATTTTGAAAGGATTTTACAAATGAAAGAACAGCAGATATAGCATCAAAACCTGGTTTTTTAATTTGGCTCTGCTGCACTTGGCTTTTGCTAAGTCATGTCACTCTTCTAAGCTCCAGTTTCCTCATTTGTTAAATGAGGGGAGTTGAATTAGTGTATTTTTAAATTAGTGTATTTTTAAAGTTCTTTCCAGCTCTGAAGTTTCAAGATTTTATGTATAAACATAAGGCAGGAGAACAAATCTGGATATATCTGAAATCTGTGTAGAGGGCAGTTACCTTGTCAATATTCAGAGGAAGCACATATCTCCTCACTTCAGGCTGGGGAGCCTTTCTGGCATTTTTTTTCACCTCTTCCCAGTTCTCACGTAAATTGGCTAAATATAAGTAATTATAAACAAATTCAAATCTGCAAAAGTAAGAAGTCAGACATGAGCAAATAATTCCAGAGAGATGATCCATGCCTTTTAAAAGAACAAGTGCCTGCCTGTTCCTTTTTTTTTTTTTTTTTTTAAGATTTATTTATTTGTTTTAGAGAGAGAGAGAGAGAGTGGGTGAATGAGCATGGGATAAGGGGTATGGAAACGGGGGAAGGGCAGAGAGAGAGAGAGAGAGAGACTCTTAAGTGGACTCTGAGCTGAGCTGAGTATAGAGCTGAGGTCGGGTTTGATCCCATGACCCTGAGATGAGGACCTGAGCTGAAACCAAGAGTCGGACACTTAACTGACTGTGCCACCCAGGCGTCCCAACCTGCCTGTTCTTTATTCTCCTACCCAGGAAATGCTAATGACCCAAGTATATTAGAGCCATTTTCTCCTGTCCATGCTGCATGAAAACCAAACCAAACAAAACAAATCTGCCTCACCGATATGTTTAAATAACAGCAGCTTTTGATACTTTCTGCTCTGTTTCTCCATCATCATTCTGTGTCTTTAGGGGCTACTGTCTTTTTAGTGGTATTATTCTCAAGAAAGCATGCCTCTTTCTCCCAAACCTAGAGTGGGTGGAGTTCAAGGCCCCAGCAAGGGAACATGTCAAGTTGCAGTGAGGTTAAGTTTAAATTCACTTATCAGGTCATAGCATCTCTGATTTTCAGCTCAAGTTCATAGACCTGATCAGTTTTCAATCACTAGCCATGGTTTTGATGTTCAGTTTGCAAGTGCTTCTGATTAACTAGCCTCCCTACTGCTTTTTCAATTATATTCTGTGACTTAAGCATACTTCTTGCATTTTTTTTTAAAGCTGTAATTCATATTAAATATTGAGAGCAGCATCTCTGAAAAAGGCCCCTAATTTCTAGGCATGACTGGGGATGTAACATTATCACATGTCCTTTCTTACCCTTTCCAGCAACAGAGATCCACAATCAGAAACCCATTGTCTTCGTAAGTATTGATGTGATGGAAGAGATTAAAAGAAGAGGTCCTGTACTTATTATTGAGGTACTTTCTTCTTTTTTTGTCAGCGATATGAAGCCAAACCTTGAAAAGTGAGGAAAATATTTTGATGCATTTAAAAAGGAAAACAGTATACATTATGAAACGCCATCTTCAGAATCCTAAACGTGACAAATAAATGCATGACTTACCCCCATGGTTTCATTGGACTCAAAACAATCAATGTAGTTGGCTCCCCAAAGACTCCATGAGGAAAGGAACTTGAACAGGTTAATTTTGACTGGCGTCTCCACAAAAACAATATAGTTGGGAGTCAAACCAAAACTGTTCAGAAACACAAATAGACTTGTGAATGGGAAGGACTGATTCTCAAACCACAAAGAAATATGTGCACATGAGGTATGAATCAACAGTGCCTACATGAAACTAATTACATTTAAATTTAGGTTTCTGCAAGGAAATGTCGTGATCAGGATTGGTATCAAAGGTAGGCAAAGCAAATCTTTAAACTTGAGTTTTCCTGAAGATTCATAGCAGGCCTTCAAATTACCTATGGACGTAAGATGGCTTGAATCGGTCACTGCAGGGGAATTGTACAACAACCTCTGACTTGCTTATTGGATCTTCCTTGTCTGAAATAAAGTGGTTTTAAAAGGCTTTGGAAAAGCCTCTTTTTTTCTCTTTTAATACAATGCATTCAGAACAGCTTATGCAAGTAAAGAAATACATTTTCAGATCTTGATTTTTTGTTTTTAGAGCTTATTTTCATTTTCTCAGTCATTGGCATTTCTTAGGGAAATTTCATGTGAAGCTGCAGTCACCCAGGAAAATCCAAACAGCAGCAGATTTGGAAAAGTGTACTCAGTGTTGTGGCAGGCAGAGGACAGTGGAGTCGCCTCTTAACAACTGGTAGGTGCCAAGTCAGCACACAGTAGTATGCTCAAAATGCCTTTCGTAATCTCTTAAGTTACCTATAAAGTGTCATGTATGTAGGTTTGTGTCATTAGTTCTGTACAGTAATTCTTATGCACAGAAAAGTTTGTTTCCTACTATGTCAGTGGTCTTCAAACCTTAGTGTACATCAGAATCGCAGAAAGAGGTTCTTAAAATAGTAACTGTGGGCCCACACCCAGAATTTCTCCGTTAGTCAACCATGGGTGGGACTCTGGATTTCTAGCAGCTTTCCAAGTGATTCTGCTGGTCCAGGGACCACACCTTAAGATCCAGGCTATGCAATACCAAACAAAAATCCATATATGTTCAAATAATTCTGTCGCCAAGATGGTTATCAAATTTCTGGCAATGAATGAAGGATGAATGGAGAATTCTGAAGAGGACTCTCTTTTCTGTTTTAGTATTCTTCCTCCATAATATTAGTATGAGTTAATAGGTTTGTTTGTGGCTTTGAGAATTAAACACACACAAAATAGTTAGTACCCTCTCATATATGTGTGTGTGCTATTATGCATACACATGTTTGTTTAGAAATTTAATTTTGCTTGGCACATGAACAAGAGCTCAGTAAGTATTTCCTGAACTTGAATCTAACTCTTACATGATTAGATACTAATATACACTACATTTTTGAAACATTGTAGAATACGATTTGGCCACTTGCTTTCTATGTTTCCAAGTCGTCATTTTCTGCTATGATGCTTCTGGGCATTGGTCCCTGGAGGATGGTGCAAAAGGCAATCTGAAAGGAATTTAACTGTGCATCTATAGTGCGATCCTGATAGTCTGATCTGGTATCCCATTTCCAGTAATTCTCACAATATAGATACTTGTTTTAAGAAGAGTCAAATTGGTAAACTGACCTGCTTGTAGTGGAGGGATCTTTACAATATTGTAGGCAATTGAAAAATTTTTCCCAAAGCAATTACCAATGTTGTAAACAGTTCCGTCACTTTCAATATGGGGGTGAGCAGTGGCTCCATTGACAGACACATAGTTGCAAAGATCAACCTAGGGAAGCAGAGCAGATGTCATCCATGTAAAGAGAAAGGCTGTATTACCCCTTGTCCCTAGGCCTGACCTTACGGCTGCCACTTGTATCCTCACCCAAAGCACATTTTCTCTTTTTTTTCCATCTCCCTGGGTTCTACCCTCTTTCAAGTCTGCCTGAATTCTTGTTGATAGTGCAGAGCTCTCTTCTGACCCTCATGCTGATTCCCCCACACCTCTGAAATCTTGGAGATCTTCCTGACTGTGTTCTTCCATGTACCCCATACACTGCTCTGGTTAGTTACTTTCCTTCTGCACATGCAACTTGCCCTCAAACTGATAATGTGAATCCTGGGATTTCTTTATATCCCCCTTATTGTATTAGATGAATTGTGTGAGATTGCTGAGATATACAATAATTTTTATTTTATGAAAATGGCAATTTTGTACACTATAACCTAAATACCAAATCCAGTGGCTTGCACAGAGTATAAATTTGGAAGTGTAAGAAATCCCAGGATTCTATTTAGTATAGAGTCAACCTAAATAGACTTCAGGAGAACCATGAATCTCCTGGAATTAAAATGCAAATGTTTTTGGAGAAAAGATTTAGCACTTTAATTCAATTTGGAGTCTCATAGGAAATTCAGAATCACAAATCTAGCATAAATCTCTCTGTTTACAGAAAGAGAAATTGAAGTCCAAGAGAGGTCAGGTGACTTTTTCTAGGATACAGAGCCACATGCTGGCAAAATCAGCACTAGAATTTCTACCTGTGACCTACTCAATACAGATTTATTGAATGGATAATTGATGAGGTATATATTTATCCAAAATTCTTTCTATTTAATTAGGAGAATATGTTTTAAAGGGAGTTTTTAGCATTTTTATTTAAATAATAGAATAGACATTCATTCATTCAATCATTCCTCATATACTCATTAAACTTCTATGATTACTGTGCCAGGGTCAAGAACGTGAGTCTAGACTTGTGCTGTCTAATATGGTAGCCACATGTAATTTAATGTGGATTGATTATGATTAGGTAAAATTTTAAATTCAGTTCCTCAGTCACATTAGCCATATTTCAAGTACTCAGTAGGACTGGGACAATGCATATATAGAACACTGCCATCATTGTACAAAGTTCTATTTGGTAGCACTGTTAGACCAATAAGCTGGTATATAATACAGTACATTGCTGGTAAATGCAAAACGGTATCTGAAGGGTCATCTAACCCAGACTGGGAGATTAGGCCAGGCTTCCCAAGGGCAATGACTCCAACTAATGTTTGGAAAGACAAGTAAGAGCCAGGTGGAGAAGGAAGACAGATATTACAGGGAGTGGGAATCCTAATGTACAAGCACTGAATTGTGAAATAGCAGGTGCTGTTTGGGGATTACTAGTCATTAAACATGGCTGCTGTGAAAGGTATGCATGGAGGAGGAAAAATAAGAACCAGCCAGCCACAAAGCCCTGTTTGGACTTTATCTTGGGAACTGTGGGTGCCTCAGATAGAGAAACACATTTCTACTTGCATTTGAGAAAAATTGCTTCTACTGAATTAGGGAAGTTGTATTTAAGAGAATCAGGCTGGAGGCAAAGGTACTTATTAGGAGGCTATTTTAGTAATAGTTAATAAAAGAATCTCAAATTCTAAAACTGTATTTTTATATGAAGTCAAGGCATGGTGAGGCTCACAATGAAACTTGACCCCCTAGTAAAGGCTATTTTGGAGCCTTACATGAACTTTACATTTGCAATTATATTACCATAGCAATTTGAGTACAGATTCACTCATCAGAGTTAAATGAATGGTTTAGAATTCATTTTCAGTTCTTCTCCAAATGATCTAACACATAGTCTTATATGATTGCAAACATACATTAAAAATAAGAGAGAGCTATTGAAGAGGATATGTTAAGTCTTAGTAAATAGTCTGCTGAGAATTATAAATTAGCTAGTGACATTGAGGCCTAGGGTTGGGGCTGTTTTTTCCTTTCCATTTCTACTATACTGAATTTCTAGTTCTGATCTTAAATTCTACCTAACTTGTCTCCCAGCTATCCCTTATCTCTTTTGTCCTCCCATACAGTTTATGCATGGCTTCCAGATTAAATATCCTAAAGCATGGCTCTGCTTATACTGTTTCGCCAAGCAAAAACTTGCAGTAGCTTCCCATTAGCTAAACAATTTATTCCAAATTCTTGTCTTACCTGGGTTGTCTCTCCTATTGATATATTCTTTGCATCTGGTATAAGTTCTGATATATGGAAGGGACTCAATATTTGTGTCACAAATGAATGAATGAATGAATGAACGAATGAATGGATATGTTAGGCATTTTATAAGGTTTTCCTCCAACCTGTATAATAAATGTTTAAAATTTCATAGATAAGAAACAAAGTTTGCCCTGTGTCACATAGTTAGTAGTTGATGACAAAGCAAGGAGGTGAAACTTCATCTATCTGGGTCTCATGTTCTTTCCCCCAAAGTGCAGTTAATTCTAAACTGCAAATTCTAACTTCTTGAGCAGTGTTGCCAGAGCATTGTGTCCTACCTGCTTAATTGTCTCCAAAGTCTCAGGATTAATCTTTGTAATGAAGTTGGTCTCTGTGCAGGCATAGTAATCTTCCCCTACTGGGTAGATGTTAACAAGGGTATTGTCAGTGACCTCCACCCCTCGAAAGTAAGAAAAAAACCTGCAGAAGCAAATGGATTTTTCAGCCCAGTAACTTTCAAGCTGTGAGAGAAAAGGGCTAATGTAAAATGTCTTTAATAACATGCAGTCAAGTTTCAGTAACCTGGAAAATATATTCTTGCAGGGATCTGGGAAAGCACAGGTGCCAAACTCCGTTATGACAATCCTTTTCTCAGTCATTGCCCGGACATAAGCATCAGTGCGGATGAACCTGAAGGACATGGAAACATGGGAAAGGGTCATAGGCAGGGACAATCAGTGTGGTCCATATGGAACTGAGAATGGTCATTCCATATGTCCTTAACAAGTTGGAACCATAAATCCACAACATGAAGAATGTAGAGCATTGTTCAGTAACTTTCTCAGGGTGACTGAGAGAGAAAGAGATAATGTGCTATGAGCTTAAATTTAAGTCTTATAAACCTCACAATGACATAAGGAAATTGAGGCTCATGGCTTAGACTTGTGATGTCCAAGTAGAGCAATTAAGTGATTGGCATATGTCATAGAACTGGGTTAGAACTCAAGTTGGCCAGGGCTGGGAAACGCATTTCTCCATATCACACTATGCAGCCTCTGTGGGTGGTTCACAGAGGACCTCTGACTTCCTGTAGCCTATAACCCATCAACCTAACACTGAACGGAGAAATACAGAATATGGTGTGCTGAATTACAGTCCTTTCAATCTCCCTTTTGTCACTCTTTGTTTTTTTCCTGCAGTTTAAAAATTTATTTTGCTGGTTTTAAAAGTAGGTGTTCTTGAATCCAGTATCTTGTATAGACAGAACTCTGTAACCATATCCCATACGTTGCCTAGGATTTCTCATGTGGAAAGCCAATTAAAATCTGATTTTGCATTTCTTCCAATGCATATAATAAAGTTTAAAATTTCTAGATGAAGAAACAAAGTCATGGAGAAGAAAAAGTACCAAGGTCTTTAGGGGGCATATGAAAGCTTTGTCTGACTTCTTAGCTAAATTTTTGCTTGACCTGATCTATTTCTCTTCTGTTACAGTCTGAATTATCCTGATTACCTCAAGCCTTCATTTGCTCTTCCTTATGGTGTCTCTTCAGAATTCCTGATACCTGTGGTGATCAACAAAGCGTCTAACAGGTCTGAATATTACAGGAAAAGCAAAGTATTTATTGTGTATTAATGGGTACTTGGAGTGATGGCTTAGGCCTTGGAACCTTTTAGCACCAATCTTCTGTTCTTAGTAAACTTCTCTTGTATCATTATGACAAAATTTGGTCCTTCCCTCTTTGCCCCACTCCTCCCTCCTACCCAGGGTCTTTCTGATTATTAAAAAAAGGAAATAGTCAAGAGAACCAATGGTCTAATAATTATAACAATAATTATAGTAATAGTAACTTATTATTACTGAATATTTCCTATTTCCCAGGAATTAATTAATAATTAATTATTCATTATTAATGATTAATTAATAATGAATAATTAATCCTTGTAATGAACCCTGAAGTAGAATTTTAGAGATGACAAAACCAAGAATTAGAGATTAATTTCTTGCCAAAGTTTGCCCAGTTAGGCAAGTGGTGTCTGGTAGATATAAAATTTGAAGCTGAGCATATTGAACCCGGAAGCCCTAGTTCTTAGGTTCTTTTTTAATATCTCACAGTTCCCAGGTATCTATGCAAATGTCCTGGGCCAGGATTCTGAGAGGAAGCAAACCTATAAGTAGCCTCTTGAATTCAAGAGGTTGAGGAGCACATAGGAGGAGGTGCTGAGCTAGGCCCCACCCCTAGGAGGAGTAGGACCTGGCATTCTTTACCTTCTATGATATGTGACGTGTCCTTCTTTAAAGTCAAACTTGTGTAGGAGGGCTTGTCCATCGAACAGGTGGTAAAATGGTTCAGATCCAACTTCAAAGAGTCCTGGCCCACATCGGAGGAGACTGCCAGTGAGCCAGAGGGGGATCCTGCCTGTGATGAAGGTGAGACATAGAACATTGCTTCTTAGCCCAGCCCTTTGCTGGACTCATCCCTGGTAAGGGTGTGTGTGTGATTATATTAGCAGCTCAATTGGGCAGCCTCTTTGTAAAGCTGGCAATGATTTTCATTCCCAGCTCTCACACTGGGCAGCCCTTCCAAAATGCTTGCTGACTTGACTGTCCTTTCACTAGGAGACCAAGTGGTGGGAAACGTTGCAATGCCTGAGTTTGGATAAAGGGTTGGAAGGAGACAAGGAAAAGCACCTTGAGGAAAAGGGGATTCTGCACCCACCAGATTTCCCCAGATAACAACATATTTGCCTTTTTACCATCTCGCTTTTAAGAAAAACGTCAAATTTCTTGATGTATTTTGATGGAGTAAGGTGTAGGAAAGGTGGATTAGGAACAGGGATCAAAACACTAAAAAAAGGTATTTCTATAGAAGAAACCATTTAAATGACAACAAGAATACTGGCTTTTTAAAGCCTAGAGCTATATTCCTTTGAGGGTATGTGCTACTGTCCATATGAAGATTAACCTGCTGAAGGAGAAATTGCACAAGGCAATCAGAGACTGGATTCTGGTTCAGGATTTGCCATGTTCCATCTCTGGGGCTCAGTTTTGTCTGCAAAATTAGGGGTACACAACAAAGGCCATGAAGCCTTTCATTTTAAGCAGTTAGATATGTGCCCTCATATCCTTTGAAAAATGCAATGTTTGCTTAATCCTTACCATTTTTTTAAACAGAAGGATTATTTTCTGCAGTTCCATTTCTGCAGCCTGCTTCCTAAGAATGTATGTTTCTGATAAAACCTTTAAGAAGGCATGACTTAACTAATGACCCAACATAAATTTGATTGCTAGAACCTATATTGTAAGCATCAGAATCTGGCAGAGAAAGAACATTTGGCTCCTCTCTCTTATTTTACAGAAGGAGAAACAGGAGGGAAGAGACTTTCTGTATCCAAACAGGGATGTTGCATGGGTCATATGGTGTTTTTGGATAATGCTAACACTAGTACTAATAATGACCACTTATTGATTGCTTTGTGTTGGATCCTAGGTGAATCTTTCTGTTATCTTATTCAGTCTTCACAACAACCCCATGATGAAAAGTTGGTAGGTTTGATAAAAAAAAGTTTGATAGGTAAGGGAACTGGAACTCAGAAAGTTTAAGTAACTTGCAAGGTTCACAGCCAGTAAAATACTGGAGCTGCAATGAGCAGCTGTCTGACTCGGAAGCAAATCAACAGGCACGAAACCTACCACTCTTTACTGTAATATTTCCAGATGCTTGTCACCAGGCCCTCACTTATCCAGACACTGGAATGGATAATGGAACATGCATTTCTAGGATATTTACTATATGCCAGGCACTGAGTTAGCCTCTGACAGTTTAAAGATGACAAAGATGGAGTCCCAGTCCCAAGGAGTTGCAGTTGGGCAACATATTTCTAGCTTAGGGAAATAAAAGCTAAATGAGAGGAAATGGGCTTCTGGCATAAAAAGCCCATACCTCCACCACTGAGAGATGCCAATGAATAAAAAACCAGGGAAAAGGGATCTCAACAATGCAAGAGAAGATGGTTTCAAGACTGGTGAGACCAACCTGTAACATGAGCGGTGAGCGGCGAGGACAGTTCCTCCACGGTTTCGAACAGTTTCTTGTAACCACCAGCAGGATGTTCAACTCTGAAAAGGTGGAATAATCGAGAAGAAGCCCATGTTGATACTCCAAGAAGTCCCCTGAGGCAGAGGTAGAGCTCCAGGAGAAAAGGCATTCTCTGGTTCAATGTCAGAGCACCACTGCCAGTCTAGCCTTTGCTGGGAGCACACACTTTGCTGGAGGACAGAAATGTCGTCAGGTTTGCTAGTGGCAGGTTGCGGGGGTGCTGGGTCAGTGCTCTACCTTTGATGTCGGAGGAATGACCTCCCTTTTAATGTCACAGTGGACCCAATTCTGCCTTCTGCAGTCTTCCCGTGTTTTGGATGATAAATCAACTAATCTTGCTGCTTCAGTGGTCATCCCCCAGAATTACCGTGCCCTGTTGCCACTCTAAGTGCACAGCATCATTGATTCTCTTGCCTCTTCTGTGTCCCTCCAAGAGTTGGGAGATGACCGCTTTTGGGGCAAGTAACTTATTCTTTGTTATTCACCTATATTATACCATCATCTGTGCCTATCATCCTATTTCTTCACCCATCTCCAGGAGCTTATGGTACTCTTTAAAAATAGTCTGACTGGGAGATTCCGGTTTCATATTTTTGTTTATTTCCTGCCTCTTCACTTTGGCTTCATTTTATAACCTCTCAGAGTGGGAACCATGACCAGAGTCCTTAATTATGATAGCTGTCTTTTATTAAGCACTTGCTATGTGCCACACACCATAAAAAGAATTTTGCATGCTATTAGCTCATTTAAATGTCACAATACCACAATGCTTATTCTATATATGGAAAAACATAGACTATGAAACATTAAGTCCAAAATCACACACCTGGGAAATGGCTGCAACCTAGGCCTGCCTCATTATAGTCTTCATGCTCACAACTGCTTTCAAGGCCCATTCACAAAAATCTCACAGTAATTTAGACCCCAATTCTAGATATTTGCTTCAATATATAAACAGGAAGAAATTCTCCCCTTCAAGACCCAAGGCCTCCCATAAACAGGCCTTCAGTCCTCTGGAAATAGGACTTGAAACAGGACCTCTTGAAATAGCCCATTTACCATCGACCCACTAAGGCATTTAAAAACACCTCCCAGAGATACTCACTGGATGGACATTTTCTCTCAGTGGTGGATTGAGAGTTCTGGCACCAAGTGCAGAATGAGGAAGCGAGTCCTCAACCAGGGGCCTTTATATGCCTTCTAAGTCTCTCTGAAAGGACTTAGGGCTTTCCCACCCCCTCAGCTGAGAGAAGGGGAACAGAAGTGGCTTTCAGCACTCAGATCATCCTGATGCCGGAGCATTATTTGGGCTTGCCGTTCCCATAACAGTTTTTTGGCTGTTTTCCAGAGACCTCAATCCTTCCCAAAGAGAATGACAAGTGGATTGGAAAGAAAGGAGCTGTGTGGGAGTGGCTAGCATCAGGCCTGAGCTGATCCGGGTCACCCCACTGGAACCTGGCATCATTCTCTGGCAGTCACCCCCCTCTACCACCTCTGTGCCCTCATCTTCACTGTCATGTGTTCACTCACTTCCTTAACTTTTAACATCGGATACATATCATCTATGGGTCAGACAGATGGGCACTGTCCATGTCGTCACAGATGTTGTCACTCTGCAAGGAGAACAGGAAACTAACAAACTATTTCATAACACTTTCTAAGCATTATTATGGGAACAAGTATGCAGTGTTATGGAAGCGCCCTGTTAGCACCTCCAGCCCCCTCCGGTTGCTTTATTGGCCCCACTCAGGGCTCTAGTTACAACGAGGGGAAGGATTTTATGTCCTTTTGATTTGTTGGGGATGAAGTCCTTTGTATATCCTTGCTTGTCACTAATGCTCACTTGTTCTGCACCTCACCTTCCTGCTTGTGGGTGTGTGTGCTGCCCTCAGAGAGCAGATAGTGCTATTTCCTTCACATTTCCCTAAGCCTTAGTTGTTTGTTAGTACAGACATGGTGCCTCCCAAAGGAGTCCCTGGAAACAGACAAGATATCTACTACACCAGCTGACAACTTGAACATTTTTTGAGAAGCTCATTATCCATTTCGATTTTGAGAAGTGGTTATGGCTATTCACCCTAGAGCTCCTCAGTAAAACAACTTGAGCATCCCCAAGATGGGAGACAGGAGCTTAATTTCCCAGCCTGCCTTGCAGTGAGGGCACAGACATGTGACTGGGGCTTCACCAATCAGAGGAAGGGGCAGAGGTACTAGTAGTAGCACCCAGTGCCCAGCACCAGCTAGGTTTGACTAGCAATGGAGCCATTCTGTAGTGGAGACTGGAGTATTATCAATGACCTGGTGTTCTCCAAACCCTATCCTTTAGCAATCTCTTAGTCACCTAATTAAACTATTTGTATAGCTGTTTGATTAAATGAAATTGGTTTCATTGTTTATAACTAAAAGCTCTGTGTCTGTAAAATGATGGTAAAATAGGATACTATAGAATCACGTAAGATGAACATCTTTATTGTTATACGGAGGTCCCAGAGGGATTTTTGAGGAAGTCTCTAAGCTAAGAAGAATATATAAAGGTTAGCTAGTCAAAGGGCAGGGAGAAGAATGTTCAGACGCAGCTTGTAGCATTTACCAAAGTCTAGAAGTGAATGTGATTTGGGGAAATGGCAAAAGATGAAGCCAGATTTGAGATAACCATAGGCCAGGTTTTGTAGAGCCTTGTGAACTACATAAAGAAATTGAGACCCATATCATGAGAACAGAGGGAATCACTGGAATGTGTTATTCAGGAGAGGAACACCGTCTGATTTGCATTTTATTAAGACTACTTTGATTACATTGTATATAATATATTGGAATGGGAGTTTTGGCAAGATAAATCGGAGACCAAGCAAGTGCAGATAACTGATGTGAGGGATGCTTTGGGGTTGGATATGAATGGTCGAATTCAAGAGATACTTTAGAGAAGGACTGATCACATTTTGTGCTTGGTAAGTACATTGAAGAAATAAAAGGTAGAGAAAGGATGACTGCTTGGTTTCTGGATTGAAATATGGTACAAATACTTGAGAAAGTACACACTGTGTGTGTGTGTGTGTACACTTGTGTGAGCATGCATAAGCGTGCACATGAGACACAAAGAGAAGTTTTAGAGATGTAGAGAGGATGAATTCTGATTTTGATAAATTTATTAAAGAAAGAGATGAGTGGGGGCTGTAATAGTTTGAAAGTTTCATAGGGAAGTAGAGTGAGTTGCCATCTGAAGGATAGGCAGGGTGTGGACACAGAGAAAATGGAGAGGAGATCTGGTGAAGGGAGCAGAGTGAGAGAAGGCAGAGTAGGCAGTTTGGGAGGCAACGTTCAAAGGAATTTCTGTCTCTTGCACTGTTTCTGTTGGATTTTGTTTTCTCAGAAGTGTCTCTTCTTGAATAGAATTATGGGCCATGTTGTGATACCTGTACATAGTCAGTGCACTGAAGAGAATTTCCAAGAACGTCAGAACCCAGCTGCTTTTCTTCATTTTTACCTCCTGTCGCAAGGAGCCAAAACAGGCGGCTTTGTGGCAGGCAGGTGTTAGAAAACCTATACTGGCTGAATGATGCTTTGACAAACTGCATTTTCCATTGAGGAACATTTTCTGGGATATGAAAACCAACCTGACTGATACCCATGAGTGTACCAAATGCCTTCATAGGGGTTCCTGTGTGGCCTTTGGTATTCCGGGGCCATAGCCACGTTGCTTAACTGCAGGAATTGATTTTCATGATTTTTGCATTTAGTTTTGCATCTGTGGTAGTCTTTATTCTTCAGCCTATTTCAATACTAGAAGTCAGTGACTTCAGATCCATTGTAAAAATACAAATCATAGCAATTCATTCTTGGGAGACATGCAGACTTAGGGATCATGCGAGTCATCAAGTTAGCATGCTTGATTAAAGTCAGAATGAAAGCTAATTACTGTGCATTGACCCTCATGGAACCCGGAATTCTTCAGGTATAAAACAAGGAAAATGTACAAAATATTTTTTTTTAGCTCAAAATACTCTCTATACAAATATTAAGTGATATTTACAAATGCTCATTCATGGGGAGTTTGATTTGTCTAATCTTCCATCTAACACCTCTTACCTCAGAGGCAACCCATTTTTCTGTATTCCTTATTGGTGTGAAGTCAGAGAACAGCTTGGCTATATCCTTTCCAAAGCACTGTTTTGATCTCTTGGCTTCTAAAGCCTCAAATGTGGACCTCTTTCTTAAGTATATCTGTTTCTATCTGTCATTTCATTGTTATACACTGGATCACCAATTTACTCTTACTTTCTCTTTCATCCTTTCCTCTTATTTTCCATCTTAATTTTTTGTTGTTTGGAGAAATCAGATCTTCATGTTCAACTTATGTGTCTGCCAAAGTTTCATTTTTGTAAATTTAAATTTTAGTTAGTTAATATACAGTGCAATATTGGTTTCTGGAGTAGAATTCAGTGACTTATCACTTACATGCCACACCCAGCGCTCATCATAGTAAGTGCCCTCTTTAATAGCCATCACCAGTCTAGCCCATCCCCGATCCCCACCTCCTTCCATCAACCCTAAGTTTGTTCTCTATTGTTAAGAGTGGTTTATTTCCCTCGTTCCTTCCCCCCTTTCCTGTATGTTCATCTGTTTTTTTTTTTCTTAAATTCCATATGTGGGTGAAATCATATGGTATTTGTCTTTTTCTGACTGAATTATTTCACTTAGCATAATGTACTATAGCTCCATCCATGTCATTGCAAATGGCAAGGTTTCACTTTTTTGATGGCTGAGTAATATTCCATTGAAACTGTTTCATTTTTATATACTTTGGTACATTTACCAAAGTAATATTCTATGAATTGAAATAGTAAAGCATCTTTCTTCATGCAGAGACTTCTTAATGGGAACCAATTCCACATTTCTTTGAAGAAGCCATATTGAGAGTATAATACAAGCTACTTTTTTTTTTTTTAAAGATTTTATTTATTTATTTGACAGACAGAGATCACAGGTAGGCAGAGAGGCAGGCAGAGAGAGGAAGGGAAGCAGTCTCCCTGCTGAGCAGAGAGCCTGATGCGGGGCTCGATCCCAGGACCCCGGGATCATGACCTGAGCCGAAGGCAGAGGCTTTAACCCACTGAGCCACCCAGGAGCCCCAATATAAGCTACTTTTTCACCCTGGCACATGGCAGACCATGCCGGGCTTAGGGGTCATGGTGAAGAGCTTGGATTAGATTGTATTCTGAGAGCAATACAAAGAAATTAAAGGGTTTTGAGCAGGGAAATGACTGAGGTGATCTTACTTACATCACTCTCCTTGATACTTGAAGAATAGATTGTAAGTGCCTGAAGTGGAAGCAGAGAAAGCATAATAATTCAGGTGAGGTGGTGATGGTTCTTAGTCTAGAGTGGAGCAGTGCAGATGGAGAAAAAAAGCGGATAGATTTGAGATCTGTTTTGTAGGTAGAAGTATAGGATTTTCTGTTATATAATTGATATGCCTGGGATGTAAGAAAATGGAGTCATGGGACCTATCATTTATCTACTATGGCATAAAAATTAAACATCAAACCTCAGTGTCCTACAACAGTCAGTGCCTGGCGTGGTTAGCTAGGTAGATTTGCTGATACTGGCTGGATTTGCTCTCTTAATTGGATTTGCCTGGCTGTTAGCTGATCTCCAGGTCTCAGCTGGGCTGAGGGGGTAAATTGGCTTTACCACTCGTGTTTGTCCCGTAGGTAACCTGGGCATATTCTCCTGCCTGTGGCAGGGATGAAAGTGAGCAAGTACAAATACAAAAAGCTGCTTCAGGGCTCAGAACGATGACACTCTCACTTCTACCACCTTCTGTTAGCCAAAACGAGTCATGAGACCAGACTGTATCTCAAGGGGTGTGAAAGTAGCCTCTGCCTTTAGTGAGAACTATAGTATCACACATAGCAAGGTCATGGATACAGGGAGAGATGAAGAATTAGTGCCATCTTTGTATTTGGATGTACAGGAGAAATAAATAGGATTCTTAGTAACTGAATGAGTGTCATACACTAAGAGTACGGGAGGAATGGTTGAGTGGAAATGGGTATGTTAAGAGTTCCTCATTAAATTTGAGACGGTGTAAGAGGTTCATCTTCTCCATATGACTTACTTGTGCTTTCTTCTACCCTCCTATAGTACCTCTGAGCCTCCTA